ATTATAATTACCGCTAAACACCCAAAATATGTCAAACACCCTTCATAAATGCAGATTTCATTGTTTTATAAAACATCAATTTTTGGCTTACCTTAACAAAATATGGCTGCCCGGCCGTTGCACTGAAACATCGACTACTATAAATGAGTGGCAAGGCTAGACTAACGGATTTTTACAGCGCGTCTAGAGAATGAACACTTACGGAATAAGCTAATTGACTATACGACAGAGGCAGAAGATATTTTAAAAGCGGATCATCTTATTTTAACGGAAAATAAGACTAAGTGTTCATTTACTGGATGATGTTCATCTACTGGTGCATTGACCCTACACTCTGACGGACACAAAAATGTTAAATTTGAAAAGCAGGAAAACACAATTATTTTTTTACCTTATCTGCCACCATTAGAAATTCTTCCCCTCGATTTGTATTCAGATGTAACTCGAGAACAGTATTGAAATCTCTTCTTGGTTTTTAGGTAATATTTTGCGGCAAGATTTTTATTCTTGCCGCATGCATATTATTTCTTATTTGATTGATATCTTGAGTTTATTTGATTGCAACTCTCGAATTATTAATTTTGCTGGTTCTCAGCTGGATCACAAGTTGGTTTTCTTTTAACACTATTGCTCTCTGCATTTCTTGCAAGATTCATTGCAACACCATGATTGTGTTCTGCTTTGACCTCCATTATTACGTTTTCATTGGAAACGTGGGAGTACACTCTAGCTGTACATTAAGCGTTACAGCATTTCCATCGAATCTTCACAGTTGCTAGTATTATTGACAAGGGGGAAAACTTATAATTATTTAACACAATTAATTTATTTCCTCTTTCACTAAACATGGTAGAACCACTGTTATTCATTTTAACGCAACTAAGGTAGATATAATAAACTGTTTCATAAAATCTTTATTAAGAAACAAGTAACCTATTTCACCTTCTAAATATTTTCCTAAATATTAAAACCGAGCAGTCGTCAAAATATTCCATCAATTTTGTTTTTGAGAAAATATATTAATAATTACTTATTTAATTTTTGTACCTCTTCTGAAAGGTCTTTAGGTATGAAACAATATTTAAATCCTTAATCCCTAATACGGATAAAACTTAATGCCCCTTAATGGTTATGGCAGAGTTCGGACTATTCACTAATCCCTAAGTTGTTAAAATTCAGGTAAAATTTTAATTTGTGGCAGAATTTGGATGCGCCCCAAATAACTATATTAGGAATTAAACTTTAATTTGAAATAGAAATATATTATAATATTGGATAAATATTGTTTTTAGGATGAGTTTCTTGAAATAATTTGTTGATTAAGATAATTCATTGCAATAAATGAATTTCTTGTTTCCTTTGTTTTTTATACAGTATAGAAAAAAATTAAAATAAGTTTAAAATGACTTTATTTAAAACCACAATTTATATATATATTACCTTGATGGCATTGATTATTTCATTTTTATTCAACGATTCTTCTAAGCTTCTTTGTAATGTTTCTAATAATTCAATCTCTTTTTGTTTCTTATTATGTTCTTTTTCTTCACATTCTTTAGTAATATTTGTTAGTTTTTCAGTTATTAAGCACATTGCCTGATAATTTTCATAATAAAAGTTATATTTTAAATTCAAGTGCTTACTTAATTTATCTAGTGTTGTATGGGAAATTGAATTAGTCAGCTGTGCTTGTTGAGGCTCCATTGTCCCCCCGTAAATGATATAGATTGAGATTGTTGCGGGTTGGTTTGTTCCGAAAATGGTATGAATGGAGTCATTTCAGTTTCATTTAATAGATCCAATATTTCATCATTCGTTAAGTCTAATGTAACAGACATCTAAAAATAAAATAAATAATTAACATACAAAGAAGTTTATATAGAGATTAGAGATATCTTATACTACCTAAGTGACATAACTCATATCAATAAAACAAAAATTGTCATATTTACGTTTTGACATGAAGAATTAAGCATTTTATCATAATCATTATCTACTGTGGGTTTTAAGATATTCTTTTTGTCTCGATTTTTTCAATAATACATTTGTTTCTATTTTTATTTTCTTACTCATTGTAATGGAATAGAGAAATGAAATCACCTATCAATATAATTTTTCTTTTATATTAATCAAGAAGCATGATAACAACTAGTGTTCGAAAATAAATATATTTTTTAGAAATTAATTTTTAGACATCTATTTTAAGAAATCTATTTTTAGAAATTAATTTTTAGAAATATATTTTTGGAAATCTATTTTTTAGAAATCTATTTTTAGAATTCTTTCTCTAAAAAATCTATTTTAAGAAATCTAATTTAACCCTTTCAAGACGGTATTTGTATATAAAAAATAATAATAATTCGTTAACCGTATCGTGTTCTGTTGTGTTCATATATTAATTTTTCATTTTAAAAATATGAAAATTATTATTGGTTTGGGGGTGGGGGTGTGGTACAACAGTGTACCATCAGTCCTGAAGTATGGTACCTATATATACCACTTGTCCCACGGAATGGTTATTATGTGTACCACCAGTACTAAATGTTCATACTCGTGTACTTACTTTCATTTATCAAAAGTGTTTATAGAAACAAAAACAATATTAGAAAAATCTCTTTATTATAATATAAGTGTACAACTACATGTGATAATCCGCGAAACAGTTCTTGCACAGTGGTATATCGCATTCTTGGCACATTGTTTTTGTTCTTGTTTGTTTTGTATTATCGGAGCACCTCTTGCAACGCCTCCTTGTTCCTCCTTCGTACGGCAAATGCAAGGACACGTTCTTCAGGGTCTGCCTCTTTTTCGATAGACGTCCTTTCTTCGACGATCGTCTAACCGAAATTGTTTTGATGCCTTCTGATAACAATTCTTCAGCTAAATCAACGAGGAAGCTTTTGAATGGAATTTTCTTTTTCTTCAACTGGCAGTATATTATCCAAGAATTTACAGCGGCCATCATCATGAGCCCATAAAATATCTTTTTCCACCATTTTGTGGATTTACGATCTAATTCATAAAGACCTGACATCTGATCAGCTAAATCAACACCTCCCATGATTTCTCTGTAAAATGCAAACATAACTGGACATTGAACTGCAACTTTATTCCCGTCTTTTTGAGTCTTATTTACTGTAGTTAGATCATTTGAGTGACAGTTACTCAAAACACATACATCCTTTGTATCTCGCCACTTGACATACATCAGTCCATCGGACGTACATTTGAACACGCATTGACTTTTTTCTAATTTTGTGTCGATCTTCGGTAAATTTCGTCGATTTGTCATACAAGTGCCAAGTGAGGGATATTTTATAGTTTGCAATAAGTTAACTGTCGTGAAAAAGCGATCGAAACAAAGAGTTACATCATCTTGCTGGATTGTAGAAGCGAGCGACTTCACCACTCTCTCTCCTAATGTACCAATTTTTTGCTCAATTTCTCGTCCAGCATAGATGTTGAAATCATATGTGTAGCCTGATTGTGCATCGCATCGCAGCCACATTTTTATGCCACGTTTCACCGGTTTCATCGGCATGTACTGTTTCAGAGACGATCGACCCTTGAATTTTGTCATGCTTTCGTCAATACTCTGAAAGCTGCTGTCTTCTCTGTACTTTTGGAATGTTGATTTCAGATATTCCACAACATCCTGAATGTAATAAGTCTTTTCGCAATTATCAGGTTTTTTAGGAGGAGCGAAATATAATTTTGAACTTATAAGTTTGAATCTGTCACGAGAAATAGCAGATTGTATTGACTGATTTCCCAGTGAGGGACTTTCAGACCAATAGTCACTAATACAGGGTACACGATTATATGACATGATAAATGTACAACCTAGGAGTATCTGAATTTCTCCAAAATTTGTTTCTTCAATCCGGGCATGTTTAGATACTGCATCTGTGTATATTCTCATACGCTCGTTTGTACAATGCGCAATATGTATAAAAAGAGATCGAGGAACAAGTTTCATAAAAATTTGAAGAGGTGAGAAATCTGCTTTTATATCAGGCGAAATAGTGCAAGTACGGTCATGAGAAATACTTTTTAGAGGTTCGAAGGAATCGTCAGGATCAACCCAAAGAATAAAGGTATTTGAAACCCCATTTTCGTCCTGTTCCTCACAATCTGTTTCATTTCCTCTTTCCTGTTCATCGTTCAAATTCGGAGGATTCGTGACTTTCTTCCTAACTTCCGGTGATTCGTCTTCAGAAGTATCCTCAACGTCGCTATCTGGTTTATATTCATCACTGCCACTGGCAAAAATTTCTGGTTCTGAGTCTGAATCAACTTCGGACAAATCTTCTGCAAGCCTTTGAATCTCTTTTTGTGAGAGTTTTCCTCGCGTCATTTCTTCACAACCTTACCTGAAATAGGACGCACGGTAAATATGTGTACCACTTCAGAAGACTACTGGTACACATGGGTACCGATGCCGGTACCTGTGCAGATTTTTATAAAAATGATAATAAATTGATATGCACTTACCAACGTATTGATCAGCAATTTGTATTTTGTCGAAACTATTATTATCTCGCCAAAGTAGCGCTAACATTCACAGCAAGGGTTAAAAATATAGCAGTGCACTGCGAAGAGTCTCAGCTATCATTCGAAACTAAAGACAAAACACGTGCTTTCAGGTTATGTAGAACGTTTACATGAATATTTGCGGCGTAGTAAACACTGCCGAACGGACTGGTACACAATAAAACCACCAATTATGCAAAACAGAAAAGTTAGTCTTTTTCAAAGCACTGATGGTACATATGAGTACCAATCGGCTCGAAAGGGTTAAGTAGTATAAAATAAAAATACAATTTCTATTTTGATTTTTCAAGGTCGAGGTTAATATCAATCCCCACCTAATATATGAAGAAAGATAAAAAAGGGGGGAATATAGTAATATATTTAAAGTCTTTAGAATTTTACTAGCTTTTGCTCGCGGCTTTGCACACGTGGTGTCGTGAATAAAAAAATCCCTATACTTTCCGTATCTGTATACAGATAGGACAGTAAAAATGGACGAATCTCCAAAAAGTTTTTTCATACATGCGATAACTGGCAAAAAAATTTCAAAAAAGAATAATAAATATACAATAATTTTATTAATAACTTGAAAAAAAAATTTTGAACAAACATGGGTATTTTAAAACGAAAATTTTTAATTTATTTTTCTATTTAGCACATGATAATTAATTCTTAATATATATAATATATCATTATTTTATTTATTCCAATACCGTTTTATATACAACATTAAATGACTTATTCTTTTCCGCCAGCACGTGAAAGTTTTGGGCACTTGAAACACGTGAACAACCAACATATAATTAACCGTGTGAAAAATATGGAGTGCCTAAATAAGTGCCTGCTACTTTTAAGGTTTGTCCTTGGGATCTGTTAATTGTAAACGCCAATTTTAATGGAAATTGCAATCTCCTAAATTGAAATGGCAAGTTATTGGGAATAATGGGTATGCGGGGAATTAAAACACTTTCTCCTTTAGCAACTCCTGTAATAATGGTGGCTTAAGAATATTACTGCCTGGTGCCGTTGCACAGTCTGGGTGCATCAAAGTTTCGCATCAGTAGAACTGTAACACCAACTTTAAGTTCCAGCTTATGGGACGGAACGCCTGTTAACTCTAGGTAGTTGAGAAATTCAACGGGATAAGTACTATCATTATTAGCAATCACAGTGTCTATGGATGAATATACTTTTGAATCGCCGACGATCATGTCTAAAATTTTTTTGTTTATTTTATTGACCCACTCGTTCTTAGGCGACAGTACTGCCCTCTCATACAACCACTCTGCATTATTTATATTAACCTCCAAATTGGGAAAAACGTACATGATAAGTTCATTCTCTGTATTCACTGGAAGGGAAAAATCTTCGGAAAATAGAACTTTCCCATCTGCGTTCGTTTCCAGACCACCGTCTCTTATATGCAAAGACACCCGATTCGTGGACGCACATGTTGCACGTAAGATGAAGCTTTTCGATTCTAGACCACAGTAGTGACGCCTTGAGACATGCGTTTATTTCATCTGCCGGTGTGCCCTTCTCAATAACTGGCAATGTTTGTCTGAAATCGTCTGCGAGCAAAACATCAACACCACTCATTAGTGTCTGGTTGTTGCGGATATCCTGTGACTGCTCCGGAGTTTCTACAGTACGTTGAGTTGCCAAATACTCACCTGCTGTATTCGCCTGAGTTGTGACTGCTCTGGAGTTTCCGCAGTACGTTGAGTTGCCAAATACTCGGCGCGTTGTATTCGCCTGAGTTGTGACTGCTCCGGAGTTTCTAAAGCACGTTGAGTTCCCAAATACTCGACGCGTTGTATTCGCCTGAGTTGTGACTGCTCTGGAGTATCTGCAGCACGTTGAGTTGTCAAATATTCGGGGTGCTGTATTCGCCTGAGTTATGACTAATCCGGAGTTTCTGCAGTACGTTGAGTTGCAAAATACTCTGCGGGCTGTATTCGCCTGAGTTGTGACTGTTCCGAAGTTTCTGCAGCACATTGAGTTGCCAAATACTCGGCGTGCTGTATTCGCCTCAGTTGTGACTGCTCTGGAGTTTCAGCTGATCTAGAAGCAGCCTGTCGCTCTGCTTGATTAATTCTACTAAACTGCGCTTGAGAAGCCGTCTCTTAACTACTTTAATAGCCCGAGTTTTATTACTCCTCTGTGAAAGATTAGATTTCTGGGCATTTCGAGTACTTTAACCTATAAAAAAATAAAATTAACTGAACTACAATTTATTTACAGTATATATACTTGTTCTAAAAAAACGACAAATCAAAATTAAGTCCGTATCTGTAAAAGTCTGTTTTATTTATTGATCGAGGTTGAGATTTTTAGAAACAAAAGAACGAAGCAAAGTTGTACAAAATCAGATAAGTTATTATAACGATTGCTTGGAATCGAAGGTTTTTCAAAAATTTTTCTTATATCCTTTTTTAGTCCATCCATCTAAACTTTTGCATTTATAAAGTATTTATATAAAGGGTGTTTCGCATAAGTACCGACACAGAACAGGTGCGTGTTGGGCACCCCACAATATGATGATTTAACGCAAGTTGTACTCCTAAGGAGTTACATAAATTTCGAAAAAATAATATCTCTGCAACCGTTTAACTTAAAAATCTGTATTTGGTAAATTATTTAGGCTGTTCATGATTCTTAATTTGGAGGTGAGTGAGTACTAATTGAAATAATTGAAATTTGCGCTTTCAAAAGAAATGGATGGAAAGATTCTCCTGGTTGTCATATTCGGAATATAAAAGTGGAGCATACTGTAGAATTTGCGTCGTAATGAGACGTTCGCTTGATGAAGGTATAGTGGACCATGAGCTATTCGGTCAGCTTGTAACCGAGCCTTTTTGCAATTGGAAAAATGCAATGCAAATATTTGAAACTCATGCAAAATTTGGTTATCACAAACGAAATTTGGAGAGAAAGAGACAGCAACAGGAAAACCGGAAGAAACTAATATGTTTTTGCTGCAAACAAGGCATACCCTTAAGAGGTAAAAATGATTCGGGGCGGATCCACGTTACATCAGAGTCTGTACATCATTCTGAAGTGGTTGTTGAACAACCACTTCAGAATTATGGTTATTTTTGAGCACTGTTGCGGTACGCAGCCAAATCTGGGGATAAAGATATTTTTGAGCATTTTGCTACTTCTCAGAAGAATGCCCTTTACACAAGCCCTCAGATCCAAAATGAAGTAATAGATATTTCTGGTGAAATTATTAAAGATAAGAAGTAAAGGAAGCTAAATTTGTTGCTATTCTGGCTGACGAGACGACTGACATTGCGCGTATGGAGCAAGTCTCGCTGTGCTTGCGATATGTCTATTTAAAAGATAAAGGGGTCTATTCTGTAACAATTCCTTTTTATTTAACGGCCTTTAAAAATATTTTCTTCTTTACTTCTGTCAATATTTAAACGAATCTTTAAAATAAATTAGAGGACTATTTTAAAGAAATCTGTTTAAATAATGACAGAAGTAAATTAACGAATACAAACATATTTTTAAAGGCAGTCAATATTTTTAAAGGCCGTTAAATATAAAGGAATTGTTACAGAATAGACCCCAAAAGATGTTAAATATCATAAAGTTAAGGAATTGTTCTTCGAGTACATTACAACTGTTGACATGACAAGATCCGGTCTTGCAAATCTTATAATTTTCCTTCGTCTTTCTTCCTCGATACTCATATATTTGTAGTCCCGTACTTCGAACCTTTTAACGGTACGCCTATGCCAAAGGACAGCAAAATTCCAATACACTGATAAGCCGATCCTAAATACTCACTTCGTATTCGTACCTCCTTGACGGTAGTTAAAAAAGTGATTCGAATTAATAATTTATTATCGTTATACTGTGAATTTAATTGTAAAAATGCCAAAAAGGAAGAGAATGAAATATGATAATATTCTCAAAGAATTAAAACGAATTAAACAAACAATATCGAACGAGGTATATACATCGTCAGAGTCAAATACATCCTCATATCATTCAGAAGCAGAAAGTGATAAAGAAGGTAAGTTTTTCTGATGTAAATAAGTTTAAAATAGTTAATAGTCGTTATACTATTAAATTAAAAACCACATTTTGTAATCATTTTATTACAAAGTATTGTGGATATGTGAATAAATTATGGAAAATTCCCATGTAAACAGATTTAAAATTTAATAGTCGTTATACTATTTAAATTAAAAAGTGGTAATTATCAGTCCACATTTTTTGCTAGTCAGTTTTTATGTGTAATCGTTAAATTACAATTCTTGTGAATAAATGAAGGAAAATTTCAATGTAAACAAGTTTAAAATAGTTAATAGTCGTTATACTATTAAATTAAAAACCACATTTTGTAATTATTTTATTACAAAGTATTGTGGACATGTGAATAAATTATGGAAAATTCCCATGTAAACAGATTTAAAATTTAATAGTAGTTATACTATTTAAATTAAAAAGTGGTAATTATCAGTCCACATTTTTTGCTAGTCAGTTTTCATAAGTAATCGTTAAATTTCAAATTCTTGTGAACAAATAAAGGAAAATTTTAATGTAAACAAGTTTAAAATATTTAATAGTCGTTATACTATTAAAAAAAAAAAAAAAATATATATATATATAAACTGTCCCATGAATATTATTTGTTATAATAAAAAGATTTTTATTGTTCTTGGATTTATTCCACTAAATGAATAAAAATTGTCCTTTCAGCTTTATCTGAAGGAATGAATACAGAAATTCATGATGTGGAAGTGCATGCTACTTCGGATGGGACGCCTGTTTTGACTGAAAATTATGAATTTTTGGGTACTAGACCTAAGGAAATGGAAATGGCAAAAGAAAAATTACACCAAGAATTAGCATTAAGATGGGGCTCTTATCTGCAGGATAGTATACAAAAAGAAAACAAAGAAAAAATAATACAAAAATACCCCTTATTTCAAAATTGCCCATTATTAAAAACTCCGGATTTAGGGCCAGAAATTTCAACTTGCTTAAACGAAAAATGATTAAGGCAAGATAAATTTTTGCTTGGAATTCAAGATCAAACGGGACATGCGTTAGCTGCATTAGGTTCCCATATGAATAAATTATTAGAAGATGATAAAAATAAGGAAAATATTACTATACTTGCAGATGTTTCACAATTAATTTGTAACATTCATCATGCCATATCCACTCATAGAAGATATAATATTTTACCGTTCCTTAATTACTCGTCTAGAAAATTAGCAGAGACAAGTAAGGTCGATGAATTCCTATTTGGAACAAATTTCGTATCAGAGGTCAAGGCAACACATTCAGCTAAAAAGACAAGTTTGGAACTAAAAGCAAAGCCATATGTAAAGCCCTCCATTTCTTTTGGCCAACAGTTTCAAAGAAGCCAACCAGAAAGAAAGTCGAGCCGTTTTCAACAAGACCGAAGGAATTTAAACTACAAGCGCCCGCAGATGAACGTGAAGAAGAAATATCCACAATTGAACAAGTATTGGAAAGACAAGGACAACAGGAGACAACAGAAACAAATGAAACAATATTAATTAATCAGGTACCAACAGCTTACGCAGGTCGCTTAGCAACATTTTTCGGTAATTGGAAAAATATTACTTGTAATAAGACAGTTCTTCAATGGGTGAAAGGGGTAATTATACCATTTAAATCATCCCCAAAACAATTTTATATAAAAAATAACAACATTCCAGTTACTGAAAAAATGGCCTACAGCCAAGAAATTAATAAGTTATTAAAAATAGGTGCAATAACAAAATCTCAATATGAACCAGAGGAATTTTTGTCCACTTATTTTTTAATAAAAAAACCTAACAATAAAAATAGATTTATTTTAAATTTAAAATCATTAAATGAGTTTATTGAACCGCCACACTTCAAACTTGAAGATTACAAAAGTGTTATTAGAACAATTACAAAAAATTCTTTTCTGGCGAATATTGATATGAAAGATGCATACTATATGATAAATATTCATAAGGATAATAGAAAGTATTTAAAATTCATATATAATGAAGAGCGATATCAATTTAACTGCCTTCCTTTTGGCCTTAATATAGCCCCATATATTTTTACAAAAATTTTAAAGCCTCTAGTAACAATGCTGAGGAAAGAAAACATCTTGTTTATAATATACTTAGATGATATTCTTGTTATAGATAAAACATATGAAGATTGTCACTCTGCTGTACTTAAAATTATTGATTGTTTATCTAAATTAGGTTTTTTAATAAATTTTAAAAAAAGCACCATAATTCCATGTCAACAGTTAAAATTTTTAGGTTTTATATATGATACAAAAAATATGAAATTTTATTTACCACCACAAAAAGTAGAGGATATTTACAGTCAATTATTGATTTTTAATAATAAGGCTCATTGTTCGATTCAATATCTAGCAAAACTCACCGGTAAATTAGTAGCCGCTTGTCCTAGTATAGACTATGGGTGGTTACATTTGAAAAGCTTTGAAAGAGAAAGATATTTAGCTTTAAAAAAATATAATAATA